GAGGAGATAAGTTAGCAGTGCGCAGCATATGCAAACAGAGAAAGGAACTATCAAGTCCGCATGGCGGAAAGCGAGATAACGTAATGTTAGAATAGGCAAGAGCTTAAAAGTCAAGCGAAACGAAGAGGACAGTATTCGGACAATTTGCACACATTATCATGCAAAGTTATCTATGTGCACCTATACTGCAACCGCTTCATACACTGTTTCCATTCTGCAGTCTGGTTTCAGCAGAGCTTTGACGTGCAACACGGTAGATATTTATCCAGCATTTTTCCGAAAGATTGCTTAGACTCTCAGAGTCTCAATTCAATAGGTAGCATGTCCCAGATATCTGAGTACTTTGTCATACAAAAGCTCCTGCGTATATTTGTCTTAGTTCTACTTGGAGAAAGCGGATTAGTCTTATTCCTGATGTCATACTTTCCACTGTGAATGAAGTGTTACTACCGCGCGGGGCTAATACAGATTTGTGCACTAAATACAGCAAAAACTTCAAAGTTTCGATTTCCGTAGCCACAAAAACTCCAATTCAAGAACTATACAGCGCTCCGAATAGTGTTGGAAATACAGTAAATAGGGCTTTGGTATATCCGAGCTACACGTTCTCTAAGTATAAACGGTCGCGTTGCCTATAACTGGTAAACAGCATCGAACAGTACTAAAAGAGAACGCAGGCAGATATTGAACATATGCAGCTGGGAATCACGCAACACCAGTGATCTGAATGAAAATTAGCCTCGCTGTTTGGCGGCATTTGGCTGCTATGAATTCGATCTGCTCCCCGAAGTTGTGGGTGCTTGAATAATGAATACTCAAGTTTCTTATTGTGTTGCGGAATGGAATTGGCATTCCGCAGAAATATAAGGTGTCCATATCATTTTTGCATCGCTACGCTAATATCCCGCATTTATCCGTAGTGAATGACATTTGCCAGTTGTCATACCATATTTCGTGAGCCTATAAGTCTTTCCCTATCTTATCCAGTGTGTTGCAGATTCTTAGAATTAAAGGTGTACAGTACCTTAGCATCAGCGAAAAGGTAGGATGTACAATTTTTAATAGTGTCTGTTATGTCATTAATGTAAATCAAGAAGAGCAAAAGGCCAAGGGCACTCACGGATCACACCACTAGTAACAGACAGCGATGATGACCCGCGAATACCTATCTGAACTTGCTGAGTACGATCAGTAAGATATGATGCAAACCAAGCACGCAAGGGATCTATGATGCCAAATTGTGACCCCTTCCGTAACAGGTAGTCATGCGGTACTCCATCGAATGCTTTTCGCATGTCGATTAAAATGATGACAACTGTATGGCCAATATCCATAGAGTTCGATAAAAAAATTGGAAAGTTCCAACTGACATATTTGACATGATGCCTTTTGTAGAAAGCCATGTTCAGTCTGGTTGACCAAGTTTCGTGAGAGCAAATAGTTGACTGCCTTTTACTATTCGTTCCATTATTCTCGCAACAGTTGGCGTGTGACTAATCGGGCGGTAGTTTTTGATGTCTGCTTTTGGTGCACTTGTGTGCCTAGGATTGACTAGCGCGAATTCGTCTTGGATTGGAAAAATGTCCGACTGCATGGACATGGTAAAGATGTCTAGAAGAAAATGTGGCACATCATGGCCATCATATGTTAATCAAGGAAGTTGGTAGACCGTCCGGGCCAGGATAAAAGGATGGTCGTAGTCGGTCTATATGGTGCGCAGTTTTACATTGCTAACAGGTGTATTGGACAAAAATACGTCACTTAGAACAGTGAACGATGAACTAGCGATTATTTAGTGCATTTTCTATTGTGCAAGGATATGAAGTCAGAGATTTGTCTGGTAGCATAATTGAGGAAACTATCTCAGGTTGAATTTTATTTCGAGTCCGCATCATTTTGACTAAGTCTCTGGATTTGTTGTTAAACTCTAAAGCTCCTTTCCCTTCAGCCAGTAATCTCCATGAGCGCTTTAACTCAAGCTCAATAAGGAGGTTGCTCCGTCTAGTTAACAAGGAGGAACCAAGCGTCCGTTTAATCTGAGTGTGTACTTTCGTTAATTGCTTTAATAAGCCCGGCATTATTAATGAGAGGTTTTTACTCGGTCATTGTTTGATCAATGCAAGCGTGTGTAGAATCTGTTGGAAGTAAATTTCGTGAGCCGCAGTCGGTGGTTTTTTTGTAAGAAAGAACAGATCCCAGTTTGTTGTTCTCAGCAGAGATGAAATTTTAACCCAACATATGTTCGTAAGTACGCTGCGTAACGCTTCTATACGCTTAAAATCTGGCTTCTTGATTAGCACTGTTAACGTGAAACTGAAATGTAGCACATTATGATCAGTAAATGGAAAGAAAGACCGCATGTTCACAGTGGTGTTGCAAAGGTCCTGAGTAAATATTAAGTTCAATGTATTGTTACCTCTCGTCGGTTTTTGCAAGGCTTGTGTCCACCCCCGTAGTTGGATTTCTGAGATGGGACTAATAAGCCTAGGTGGTGCAGACCAGTTTTCCCAGGAGACATATCGGATGTGAAAATCACCCCCAATAATTTTGTGAGCGAAAGCCAGATCGGAGGCGTATTCAAAAGCAGAAGAGAGATGATTTAAAAGGAGGGTCTCACACTGCGGAGGAATGTAGACAACCTACTAGAATGTGGGTATTGTTCAACTCCGCAGAAATCCAAACGAATTCATTAACGTTGTTTAGCTGTGGGTCTGATAACTGAGTGGGTAAATAGCGGTTTTCAAACATAGGTAGTGCACCCACCACCATTGCCCGTATGAAGGCTACACACGAAGGTGTAGCCCTCAAAGTGGTAATATGTACAAGGTAGGTAGGGAAAAAGTCATGTTTCAGTTAATAGTAGTAAATGGGAAGAGAGGAATAAGATGGCGAAAGCTGTGTAGCTTAGTATAAAGGAGGCGGAGGAGGAGGATTACAATATTTTCCTGCTCAGAAAGCAAGTTTAATACTTCACGGAAAATAGGGGTGTGACTGCGGTAGTATTTGTTCAGTTGGCAATGATGGTGGTAATTGAGAAACACCGAGGCCATTGTATATGTGTAGCTGGGTTAGGTTGAGGAACTAGCTGAAAAGGTGATGGCTCTCTGCGTATGTCAGACTGAGAGATAGGGGCGAAGGAGGCCAATTCCAACATTGGCCCAAAAATTTCGCGATAGGGCTGTGGTTATGGGGTGCACGGACTCCATGTAGTGACAGTAGTTCGACAGTATTTCGGAAGTTGTGGGCTAGACGTAGAACTTATTTTTGGTAAGCTAAAGGCTATTTTGATGAATAGAGTGACCTGACGCAGCTTTCTACACTGAGAATACAGCATCTTGACGTTAGATGAATCTGATAGATTAAGGATCACAAGATCAGGGCAATCCATAGAAGACGATTTAAATGTTATCCCTGTGACTAGCCGTCCTTTCATGGACAGATGACTCTTCGGTGTCAATTTCGTAAGACAAAGGTATATTTAGAACTACAACTCTTCTAGATCAAGTATTAATCCGAGGAAGATGTGTATCCACTTATTGGATTGGTTCAATATATTTTGGTGATGGGGTAAGGCAGTTTGTTCTTGTGTATGAAACTTTGTGCCTAATCGGCGTTGTGATTAAGTCGACTGTCTTTGGGATAGGTTTAGGTGCATTTTTGTTTAGTTATACTCGCACAGGGGACAACAACGTGAAAGGCAATCTCTGACTGTGATCTTTTGTAGATTCGACGGAGGCGTTAAGATCAAAACCAGGAGCACGGATTTCGCTTGAAATATTCGTTGTCAAATGTGTTTCGCTAGACTTTGGGTAAAGTTGTGGTCCTCCGTTGGAGAATTTTTGTAGGACTCAGCAGCTTACCAGACTGTCAGGTAAACACGTCTTCTTCGCTATGTCGCATTAGCAGTTTGATCGACGGCTAATCATTCGCAGTTTGTGTTCGCCGGAAAAGCGCAAATGAGAAGAAGAGTAACTAAATGATGATATAGCAATGAGGAAGGGGACCGAAAAATGGGGAATCGTCGTTCTGGTGAGAACCATAAGCCCACAACGCAAAAACGCAGGAACCCTAGAAGAGTTAGTTCAATTAAACTAGCGGCTGAGATCTTGAATACGACTGATTACTTGCAACTGGCAGTCTCTGAATCTGATGTACATCGGTTTTCAGCCGTTCTACTCAAACTAATTTTTGGTGAACATGATTAATAGTGCGTCTTTGCTTGGATCGTAGTCCAGGATGAAAGATGGAATACATCGAAAATCATTCTTTCTATTACGAACAAATTCAAAATTAAGATGGAAAACGCTGACGATCGATCAAACACTAAGTTGGATTTTGTAGACAACACTGCAGAAATCGCATAGAATAGGGAAAATGAAGACACTAACTTACCACGTTGAAAACCGTGGTCAGGCACCTGGCCAGGTAGTAAAACGAAACATTCAAATTTTTCAGACAGATATTATTCAATGTGATCATCATAACAAACATGACGGATAACGGTAGAACCTGCCAATAGGAATGAGAGGGAATCAAATGAGACGCACATCAATGGCTGATTTTAGTGTAAAGTTCAAACACGGAAATTTGATCACGCTGGGGGCTACACGGTTCAAGTGGGCTGCGGCGGAGCACAGAAGAGCTGTGACAGCGCATTGGAACCACGTCACAAACAGCGTAATATCCACCTGAATGTCGGAACCGACGGTGTCTAAGAAAGATAACTAACAAAAAATTACCGACTCAACCGCGTCACTTAGGATCCATTTGTTGATGAAAACAAGTGAGATGGAAACAATCCTAAAACACAGTTTGATCCGATACAATTGAATTTACCAGTAGGCAAAAACGACAGATAAGATGCGAAAAGTTTCCGTTTTGCCGTGCTCACCCATAAATCTAAAGAGAAAATGTCGCATTGGAGAAGATGCTCAGATTCGATCAGAATGAATAGCCCAAGGAACAAAAAGGAATTTATTGCAAACTATGTTCGATTACTAAAGGTGGAACAAGGGTAGAAGAACATTCAATCTTTATGATATGGCGCCCAGGGATAACGATAGTAGTTAGGTTGCGCTTCTGGTCTTCAAGGAAAGTATCAGAAGGAGCCGGATACTCAGTACAGTGACCTAAAACCAAATTGGCCATATGGTCTGTGCACCAAAGACGACCGACAAAACAGCGCCCATCCGTGATATGAACAGAAATCTCTTTGTCACAAAGGGAATCGATAAAGGAACGGGCCTCCGCGGAAGATCTGAATAAATCGGTGCTCATTGTCAATAAGGGCCGAAAAACCACCTGTAAGTAACGAAATGTGAGCCGGTTGAGATTAAGTTAGTAAAAATGCAGCCTGCTTTCAGTAAAGTGATCATTGGCTGAATATCGATGTAAATTGATGCGAACCACTTTTTGAAGTTCGTAGCAGCTAGATTCACAGATAATCACCACACAACCAGGAAAGCACTAAACAGCCATTTCGCCTTACTGGAACTCGTCAGTAGCGCGAATTCGCCGGAGCCAGCCACAGCCACATTAATTGCAGGACGCGCAACGACGATCGACTCTTTCAACTGTGTGCCGACCATGGCTTTTTCCTTACGAACACCAACTTCCGGCGCTCCTGGCGCCAACGAGCCACCTGGCGACCATTGGTGCCTGGTCAAGCTTGGACGCAGTTTGACCACATCGCTATTGGTTACCGTTGGCGAGGTCGTATAATGAACTGTAAATCAATTTAGAACACTTATTTGACTTCGAATCGTGCGCCCGTGTGTGCCAAGGTCGTGGTGCGCTTTGGAGGCACGCAACAGCGTCGCCAGAAACGGCTTGACACAGACAAGCTAGCCGACCCAAATGTTCGCGGTGCATTTCAGAATATATTAGACTCCAATTTTCGTTGTCTTTCCTCCTATGTTGAGACACACTGGGGACAGGTTCAGAGCGCCTTACGAAATTCCGCTACCTTGATCTGTGGCTGCAGTAGACAAGCTGTCAGTCAGTGGATCTCCACAGTCTCCCTAATCAATGGAAAGCCGGCGGACAATTCTCGCTGGAGTTGAGCACAACGCACTAAGTAGAACCACAGGTGCTGAGCTCAGACGGCTTCCCAGGAAGGATCACGAGGTCTGGTGGACACAACACGGTGTCCAGATGGAGCGAGCAACCTCCTCATGAAACTCCTGCAAATACTTTCGAATTATTCGGTCTAGGAGAAGCAGAAGGCCAACAGTGAGTGAGGTTTTGCGTGAAAATGACAGCGAACTATTTCATAGTCGTCACCGTCGTCTGTTACGTTGGGTAGAGCAATTTGGAGAATAGTTCAACTTGGCACCAGTATAACCGAGTTTATGTTTCGGGATTCACGGTTCTTCATGGTGAGTGGATGTTTCCCCACCGAGTGAGGCTGAGATTTTCCATGAGCTTCGTCTGCTAAAGCGTCGCAAGTCACCTGGCCCAGATGGGCCTCCTACTGCTCTATTCAAATACGATGGTCCTGCTATCACCCATGAACTGACAGCCCTCTTTCATCAGATTTGGACTACTAAAGCCATCCCATGCGACTAGAAATTAGTGGATGTTGTACTTGTCTATAAAAAATTGAGACCAGACTGTTTGCTCCAATCATGATGGAATCAGTCTCATTTATATCGTATCCAAACTGTTCGTCGCTCTACTCTTACGGAGGCTCAGTTGCGTACGGGAACAGGACCTGCGTGAACAACAAGCTGGGTTTCGCCCGGGTCGCAGTTGCGTCGATCACATCTTTACGATCCATCAGATATTTGAACACCGCCATACGTTTAGTCGACCAACCATAGTCATATTCGTGGACATTCGAGCCGCGTTTGTCTCGGAAAAGAGAGTGGGACTTTTGGACTGCTTACTGAAGAGGGGAGTAGCTGAGAAGTACAGCAGAATTCTCCGTGCGATTTACTGTTAAACTTCGGACCGCGTGCGAGCATACGGAGACTTTTTGTCCCCCTTCAGCATCACCAGTGATGTTAGACAGGGTTGCGCAACCTCTACATTCTTGTTTAACTTCGGCATGAACGAGATGCTGGAAACTGCCCACGAAAACGCTGAGTTCCGTGGCGTTGAAATGCTCCCGGGTGACTGCCTTCGGGACTTGGAGTACGCAGATGACATCGCTGTGATTTGTGATTCCTTCCACACCGTCCAACATATGCTGCATGGAGTACAGATTTCCGCCTTTCTATTTGGGTTGACCTGTGCCTCTTCTAGATGTAAAGTCCTGTTACAGGACTGGCCAAGTGCATCTCCTTTTCTCATCCTTTCGGAGCATCCACTGGAAGTGGTCGACAAATGCATTTACCTTAGGAGCTGTCTTAGTATCGGTGGTTTGACGGATGAGATCTCCCTGCGTGTCTCCAAGGCTAGAATAACTTTCGCCAACCTTGTCACCTGTGGATTCGTCGTGACCTCAGCCACGCTCTCAAGGCACGAGTCTACAATGCTGCGGTATGGGCGATTTTGCTGCACGACTGGTGCGTTCGCAAAAGTGATGTTCAGCGGCTATCCGCCTTCAACCACGACGGCCTGTGAAGAATTGCTGGTGTTTGATAGCAGCACCAGATCAGTAATGAGGAAATCCGTCGGGGATAGTTCAAATCTGACAAACTCCACCGACTGATCAACAGCATCATTCTAATGCGGAGGCTTCGCTGGCTTAGGCATGTCGTTCGCATGCCTGCCCAGCGGCTACCACGACGTGCCATATTGGTGAGCGTAGGCATGGGATGAAAGTGAAGACAAGGACGCCAGCGCAAAACTTGGATCCAATGCGTTAAGGCGCAAACGTCGACGTTGTCTGTTGTTAGTTGTTACCGACTCCCGGGTTGGGGACCAAAGGACCTCGAGCACATCTGGTTGCAAACGCTACAGGATATGATCAAGGACCGAACGCAATAGCGCTTGCTGTGAAACACTTCTTCGCTAACTGTCGTTTTCCCTCTCAAACTGTGTTGTGGCCCTCAGCCAATTGTAACGAAATTGGAAGGGTTGCATATATATATGTATATATATATATGTATATATATATATATATATATATATATATTATATATATATATATATATATAAACGCCGGACCCGAACCCATGACCTTGCTCTTACGAGTCAGGGACAAATGCCACTGAGCCATAGGTAACAGCCAGTGACCGCCATGACTGAGGTAAACCTGTGATGTAACGCGGCTCATCCTACTCGGTCATGCAAATTATGTAAGTGCGGAGGACGGGACTAAATCACAGAGTTACAACTAGCTTCGCAAGCCGTCAGTTGAGGTGGCATGTAAGCTGCTAAGGTGATTACTGATTATTACTACCAACGGCACCATCGCAATTCAGCACATATCCGGTGGGAATACCGTGTGAGCAATGGAAAAGTTTTCTGGTATTACCAGAGACTAGCAAGCCCCATCTCCCTAGCACATTCACACCATCAAGCTTCGCTGCCCATTTGCAGACTAATGCGCAACCCTCGACCCCAGGATTGACGTTCTTCATTGTAGCTGGAATCCGACGGGATCAAGCGGCGTTTGTCCATCAGCGACAAGGAGACAACGGAAATTCAATGTGTCGGTGGGTAACGGGCAACTCCCCAGGTGTCAATACTGGCGGAAACTAAGGCATCTCTGATCTGGGCCTACTGAGAATCAAGACCACCGTCAATAGTTAAGCCAAGCAATGTTGACAGTCAGGCTTGTTACCTGGTTACAAGCGCAGGGTTTTGTAGATTTGCTACGTCCGGTCGGTAGTGAGCGCAATTAGGTTTCTCCGAAATGTGTGCAAATCTTAGCACGAACCATTGCGTGATCTGAGTCTAGATAAGTTAACCAGTACGATCAGCAGTTCGTTACGCTTCCGCGCCATCTGTATTTGATTGCCATGTAATCACGCTGGGAACATTTGCGTTAGTTAGAGTGGGCGCCGGGTAGTAGTGTGTCCCCTATAGTGCCAAAAGCTAGTGCTCGAAAGAAACAAGCGATGATCAGAGCAAAGAGCAAGCAGTATGTCTCCATTGTCTGATCGACTGCCACCGAGACCAATACTACCCCCAAGACGGTGCTCGCTTGGTGACAGGCGGCCCAACCGTGCGTTAAAGTCCCCGGCAAGAATATATAAGTCGTACTGGAGGAACGCAGATGTTCTTGTAGCCGCTGGTCATCATCATCATCATTATACATGTCAGCTAGAGGTGGTAAAAGACCTCCGCTATTGTACCGCAATGCATAAAGGAAATACATACATACATACAAAACATAAAGGAACGACAGTTGCATGCCAGCTGAGCTACAAGCAACGGATAGGCATCGTTCCGGTAAGCTACCAGCCAGCTAGTAGGCAAAAAAATTTATTATGTTTTACCCTACGAAATGAGATCGTAGATGGAGGGGGAGACTAAAAGGGATGGGGAGGGACAAAGAAACTCACAGCACAAACGTCACTAAGGTCGGCTCCTTGCCATGTCAGCAAGTGTATCCAGCCAAACGTGTTCACCGTCTTTTGGACCCCAACCAGGGAGCCGTGAAGCTCCCACCGAAACTAGCTCCGAAGTGAAGGAATTCATTCCTCTTGACCAAGTCATCGCTTGGCCACCCCTCCTCTTCTTCCACCCACATCCCCGGTGAGCAAACAACGCACGTCGAGGGAGTCGGTGGGCTGGCATGCGCAACACGTGGCCGAGCCATCGGAGTCTGGTGCGTGAAATAACGGTGCTGAGCGGTTCATTCGCTTTCCTCTGCCGTAAACAATGCGTCGAACACGCTCGTTACTCAACTTTGCCATTGAGGATGTCCTGAAGAACGCTCTGAGCGATTCGTTGAACGCTGGCGTTGAGCTCTTCCCAGGTCGTCGAGTTGTTGATTTGGATTATGCTGATGATATCGTCTTGCTGGGTGACGATCCACAGGTCGGCCAACTTGCACTAAACCGCTTGATGGTTAGAGCATCAAAGTATAGTAGGTACTTTTCGCCATCCAAATGCAAGGCTGTCTTTCAAGACTGGCAGGTGCCTCTGCCTGCACTCACGCTTGCTGGTGAGACACTAGAGGTTGTGGAGAGCTTTGTCTACTTGGGAAGTTGCATCACTGCTGACGGGGCTGTTGGAGACGAGATTTCGATGCGCATCTCGAGAGCAGGCCTCGCTTTTTCTAGGCTGAGGCATTTGTGGCGTCGCCACGACATTCGTCTCTCCATCAAAGGGCGGGTCTATTGTGCAACTGTTCGTGCTGTACTATTGTATGGATGCGAGACCTGGCCCATTCGTAAAGATGACTTG